TCTCCCAGGCGGTCCAGAGATTCCTGAATTGTGGTAGGATGTTGATCTGTGTCCACGAATGAGATAGGTTAGCCCACGCGCTGTAAAGAGGATGCAATCTGCTCCAAGCCCTTGACCCAGCATCCGCCATTGTATTCAGTTCTCCTGCAATGTGTTGTTCGGAACACGTTAATGAGTACCGAAACTCTGCCAGCGATATCAGTCGATTGTACATTCGTGCTGTTCGATGATGGCTCGAGCGTTTTGAGAGTCACGCTACCGCACTCATGTTGTCTATCCACAGGCGGATATGGGTACGATCCCGACCTTTTGGGGCCCATGCTGGACCCCAGTGAGTGACCGCGAGAACCGCGCTCATCAGTTCTCTTACATTGATCGAGTTGTCTTTCTTTGAGGTGGCGAAACCATCACGTACGTCTTGGCTGAATTGAAGTCGGATATACTGGCGGAGTTGTGGCTCTAGCGCACAGATACCGGTATCCGATGCGTCCATCATGACGTGGTAAGTTGGGGGCTGAAGTCTCGCGAAATGCTCGACTGGAATTGAGTTAAACTGGTGTTCGACGGTAAGTACTGCACGGAACCATTCCAAGTCCTCGCGCACATCGGCAGGCACACGTCTGCGCTCGTGTGGGCTGTGAAACGTCGAAGCAAATACCTGGACATTTTGATAGAAGGATCGTGCTGCTGGAAAACAAGTCGATACGTAGCGTAGGCTTCCAACCAGCTTACTAATTGACGAGAGGGAACATGTTGCTGCTGTCAAAAGGTCGTCAAACCGGCATCGCGCTTTGTCGATCTTTTGAGTGGGCACAGAGACTGTGCCATTTTCTGTGTTCCAAAGCAGTCCAAGCGCTTTGGTTTTCGTCGACCGCTGTGTAAACTTGTCTTCGTTCAGTGCTCGTGGGCCGAGTACCTGAGTCATGGCTTTCCGTAGTGCGATGTCCGCTTGCATACACCTTGGTCCAGTTGCAATTTCAATACAGGTATGGTCATCACACCACACGTTCCCGACGAACTGACTGCTGTCGATCGGCGCGAGATTCGCAGGTGGACGCTGACTTTCGTAGAGTGCATTGATGAGAGATCCGGCTACGGAGTAGAAAGCCGGGGACCCACACCAACCAAATCCACAGGACAGGTCAATAACGATGAAGCCGTCGAAATGGAAGGCAAACATGTGCACGTGGTCGGCGTTGATAGGGATATGACGAAAGGCTCCAGAGACGTCTCCTATCATCATAAGCAGAGGATGACCCGGGAATCGGATTCGAAGTTCCCATATACGACGTGCTATATCCTTCGGCGGGTTGTAGCTGACATCGGGAAAGTTACACCGATCGGTGAAGTCGTTTACGGCAGCTCCCATCGGGAATGAGTAGTCGTTGATCACTCGGACGCCTTGAGGCGATCCTGCTTTTTCGACAACCCCAATCGGGCTTATGAAGATATCGGTCCATAGGTCCGACAAATCTGCATTCACCACTAAATATCGTCCTTCCCGGTGCCCTTTGGCAATGTGTTTTCGGATACGATCTAAGTGCTTGTTGATCGTCTGATGGTTCGAAGGGTGTTGCTGCTGTTCTTTGGGCCGATGCGTCTTCCACCGTGGCTTAACTCCGTCCCGAACTATTTCGTTCCATCGCACCGTGGTTGCACGCAAGGTTGCGTCTGCTGGCAGTGGGAGTTCAAATAAATCCTTGTTCGGACGGGTGTCCTCTGCTGTTTCACCACGAAAGACCCGTACAAATTGCCCGAGAGGTTGCTTCAGCGCCCTTGCAAGTTGCGAGTCAGCACGAATTCGATCAACGTCGAAACCTTCGAGCGGCACTTCTCGTTGTGCGGATATTCCACATAATATATCGACGCATGTTGTTGATACCGACGACAACGTGAGATTTCAAGCTGGTTGCTGACTTTAAGTTGAGATTTTTGAAACGTTATGTATGCCTGTTGCTGTTGATGACGGAACGATGTATAAGCTGTAGATGCCTGTGCATTCTGATGTTGTTCACCCAGCGACTGTTCTCGTGGGGATATCTGTACTGAATTGGAGAATGCCTGTTGTTCTTCACGCCGCCGACCAGTGACAGGGTTTGGCGCTGTGGTTCCGGCCGATTTAGGCGTTTGGCGTCATAGATCACTGAAGTCAGAGGCTAGACCGAGAAAGTGTTTATCGATCCAGGACTTTGCGTCGGCCGGTAAGGCTAACGGCTTAAAGTGCGCGCGGTTGGGGTCAAAGCACTTCCATGGTACTGGTCCAGTGCAGCCTTTCTTCGACAGATATCGCATGCACATCACTTTGTTGCCTTGTTTGGGAAGCACAGCGAGATGTTCCTTAGGTACCATCGAGGCTTTAGCAGTCTTGTGTTCGCGAGGATGGTGCTGCTTAGTGCTTGGGGCTAGACGTGTTGGTCCGGATGCGACTATAGCCGCCACACGGCGATCTTGTTGGCCCTGGTACAGCTCCATGAGAAGGCCATCACTCCGCGTGAACTCTCGACCCATGAGAGCTGCCGCTTGGATATTGGATGCTATAATCAGACTTCGAAACTCCCTAGCTTCGAGTTTATCCAGTACACCAGCATAGTGCAGGTGGAGGCATCGGGTCGCGCGAAGGCTGCATACTCCACAATAAACTCGGATCCCGTCTTGATGAAGTCGCAGACGGTTGTATTGTAAAAACCTTTTGCGAAGTACAGCAGATTGTCAAAGGCATCGACAATCTCTCCGATGTTGGCTGGCGGGTTCGCAGGTTGGAGGGAGTTTGGAGCGCCCGAAGTTGGCCATATTAACAGCGTCTGTGGTATACTGCGCCTCGACCCCTTCGAAGAAACGTCGGAAGTGCATCAGGGATAAGCCTCTGATACCAAAACTGAGGTCATATGCCGCACGGAGAACTGGTGTGTTGCGAGAAATCTGGTGTGCCGGGCTTGTTGAGCAGCTTCAAGAACAGCTTGAGCGTTTTTACCTAACGTTGCAGGGTGCGCGATGGCGTTGCGAACTTATAACATCGAGGAGTGAATATCCGCACGCGTCTCCAATGTCGGAACGTCGGCATCGCTTGTCATGAACAGTTCATGAATATCCGTGTCGACGTATCGCGCTCGTTTGTGTAGAGGCCGGTTCTGAAGCCGAACCAAGTCCATGTCCGCTTGCCTCGATGTGTTAGCACTGGCGTTTCCTTCGTCATCTGAATCACTGAATGTTGAATCAACGTCGTTAGTCGAAACGTTTGGCATAACGGTGTTAGTTCTGGTGTCTGGAGCAGCCTCCTTCTCCTCCAGTACAGGGTCCTTAAACACATCAGCTGAGGTTTTGCCTCGGGCAGTCAACTCGCAGTCCACGATGTGTTGTCGGCGGACGTACACGATTGCGAGTGTGTCCGGTCGTATTAGGGGAACACGTTGATCAGGTTTGTACGGAACACTAAGCAGGGTCGATGTCACACTTGACGGTAAATCGGACCTGCTCTTGCCACATGCCACGATTACTTGGTTCTGCTTGTCCAGTAGCTCCAATGCATTAAGGACCATACTATTCACCGAACCCCCGTTTGATGAGCGTAATTGAGGCGGTCGACTGCAATTACCGTCGACGTACTATGAAGCTGCACGCATAATGTTTGTGCCTCATGGCGGACGTGGAGCTGCGCAGTATGGTCTTGCATCGAATATCCTGTAACGAGTCCGTAGGCCCATTGGTCGCTGCTATCTCCGGCCGACTGGACAAACGCGATGGGGTGGCCTACGTAGGATCCTGGCCACAATTCTGCCTCCACGGATTCGACGATGCGATGGCGCAGCACGGCCAGTTTGACGTCGAATTCTGGTCCGTCGTCACTCGTGTCCGGCCCGGTCTTCCTCACGATAGCTGAATTGCCTTGGACCCGAACAATAGAGAGGTAGGAAAAGCCTTCCAGGGATGGTAGGTGGGGCGGTCCCACAAAGGCAAGAGCACCGGGAGTGACGCTAGACATAGCCATTCTAGGGAAGAGGTGGAAGGCTGTTTGGTTGTTCTTATCGTTCAGAGGAAAAGGAAAAGTGACTAAACTACGCTTCTTGATTCTCTGCTCTGTGTTGTCCTCGCCCTCTGGTCCGAGACGAGAATAGTGTCGGTTGTGAAACTCCTTGCGTCTTCCCAGGAAACCAGAACATCCTCCGAATGTTCTCCATTTATGATAGCGTGTTTCAGAAAGAAGTCGAGAGCATGCGGATATCACTTAGCCAAAGTGATGACACAGCAATTCTCGAGGAGGCATTTGCGCTGATTGACTCCTACGAGGGAATTACAAGTGCAAGAGATAGCAGCATTGATAGCACTGGGAGAGGTATGATCAAATCAATAATTCCAGCCTACTCAAAGGGAGCGTCGGATCAATTGAGAGCGAAGGACTTGGCAACCAAAAAGAAACGAACACGACGACCGGAGACGTCGTCCGTGGTATTTCAACGTCGTAGAAAGACCGAGATTGTTGACCTGCGTGCTGAAGTAGCCAAACTAGAGTCTCACTTGAAGTATCTACAGCAAAAGTGCCAGAGCGTGTGGTATCGATATTTGAACCGGAATCGAAGTGACACAGTCACGAAGGACAGGTATTCTGGGCAGCACTCAGTGGAGATTAATTGGGCCCAAGAAGCTGTGAAGCAGTATCAGTGGTTGAACAGTGCAACAGAAAGCTTATAGAGGCTTTTGAGAAGCAAGCTCGAATGTTTTGTGATCTGCGAGCGGTGTTAAGCCAACGAGAAGTTCTCCATGTGGGTATATGGTTTGACCGGGGTTGGATTTATTTATGTATTTGTTGGTATTGAAGGGAATGGATGTCGTATTCACTGGAGTTCAGCAGCTCAATGATGCCATGTGACGCCAAGTTTCCGATGCATTATAGTATGTCGCATACTACCAGGCCGTTTAGATCACCCAATTGAATCGATACTGAACAGGGCAACGGTATTGGAAGTTAGAGTTCTGACAAGCTAACATAGAGCTGAAAAATAAATGAAAGCTCAGTTAGATTATTCCCATTTAATTATATTTTTTTAGTTGACAAAGTTTGATGGAATACAGGTAATACATATCCTCACACATTTTGTGTATTCGTCCCACCACAACAGACATGTATGAAGCAACTATTAGCATGGAAGTTATAGACCTTCATCAACGCACGTGACAGTTTTAATCAAGCATACGCACAGTACAAATTAGGCTTTGATTAAGGCAAAGCCACGCACAAAATTTACGTTTTGAGTACAGTTTAGTGCGGCTGCATCTCATTACAGGTCGGCAGCACTTACAGGAGATTCGTTGATGTAGCTGCTCAGCACGTGAAAATACATCGGCGGTGGGCTGTTATTAAAATAAAGATATCATTGAATACAAGTACTTGTCACTACTATCGCAGTCTAACCTATTTCTCGAAACAGAAGCATCTGTTGCAGTCTGAGTGCGCCAATAATCTCCTTTACACCGGCTGAGTGGAATGAGATGTGGTGACTGTAGCATTCTGATCATCCTCAGACATATTGGCTGGACTCTCCACTCCCCAAGCGGTACCAGTCCACACCCTCTAATTAGTACCTTTAGCGAGTTCCCAGGTGGAAATGCAGTCTGTCATGAAGGGATCATCATCAGTCTCCATGTGTACTGTACACAATGTATCTATCTCTGGCCAACAGCCGCACATTCATGGAATCTTGAACAGCCGCGGCTCCTCAGACTTGTCCGCTTCAGTTTCACTTGCTTCCAGTATGCTTCGAAGCGATCATTTCGACACACGCGTCCTGTCATTGCGATCTTCGTGCCAACCCCCTCATTCTTCAGTCCGAGCTCCAAGCCGCACAAGTCTCAGCAAGTCTACAACGTCTCCACACCATGGCCGAAGACGCGACCGCGGCCGCCGCCGTATCCCCCAACAAGTTGGCGCAGAAGATCTCGACCGCGCAGCTCACGGACGCCAAGATCACGGGCTTCCCGCAGTTCACGCCGGCGCACCGGTCACTCATGGCCAAGCACCTGTCAATCGAGATCTACTCGCAACTTAAGGAGATCAAGACCTCCACGGGTTACACTCTGGATCGCGCAATCCAAACCGGTGTGGATAACCCCCACCTTGGCGTCGGTGTAACCGCTGGCGACGAAGAGTGTTACGAGCTCTTCAAGCCCCTATTCGACCCCGTAATTGAAGGCTGGCATGGGTACAAACCCGACGACCACCATAAATGCGACATGGACCCATCCCACGTGACGAACGGAAAGTTACCGGACGAGTTCGTCATCTCCACGCGTATCCGCGCCGGCCGTAACATTCGCGGCATGCCCTTACCGCCTGCCACGTCGCGCGCGCACCGCAAGGACGTCATGAACTTGTTACAGTCCGCCTTGGGCGACATGAGCGGCGATTTGGCCGGCAAGTTCTACAAGCTGTCGGAAATGTCGCCCGAGGACGAGCAGCAGCTCATCACGGACCATTTCCTGTTCCAGAAGCCTGGAGGGGGTACACTCCTAGAGGCTGCGGGCGCTGCGAGGGACTGGCCCTCGGCCCGCGGCATCTTCCATAATAACGACAAGACCTTCTTGGTCTGGTGCAACGAGGAAGACCACATGCGCGTCATCTCGATGCAAGACGGAGGCGACGTGGGCGCCGTGTTCGAGCGGTTCTGTCGTGCTATCAAGAGCGTGGAAGAGAGCATCAAGGCCAAGGGGAAAGAATTCATGTACAATGAACATCTGGGCTTTATCGGTACTTGTCCGTCGAATTTGGGTACAGGGTTACGCGCCAGCGTCATGGTCAAGTTACCCAAATTGACGGAAGATGTCGCTCGCTTTGAAAAAATCTGCTCGTTGTTACACTTGCAGCCACGAGGTACCGCCGGAGAACATTCAGCTTCAGTTGGAGGCGTGTATGACGTCAGTAACAAACAACGCATTGGCCACTCCGAGGCCGAGTTGGTGCAGACGATGATAAATGGCATCACTTTGCTCATTGCCATGGAGCAGAAGCTGGTGGCTGGGGAGTCTATTGACGCTCTGATCCCCACGGAATCAGCCGCTCCGGTTGTCATTGACGCTGGTCCTCCGCTTGTAGCGTCAACGACGAGCACGGCAGTGTTACCGTCGCATGAAGACAACTATCCCGAGTTCACTGCGAAGCACCGCAGTTTGATGGCCAAACACTTGACTAAGGAACTGTATGACAAGTTGAAGGACAAACATTCTAGCAAGGGGTACACGCTGGATATGGCCATTCAAACCGGTATCGATAACCCTCACCTCGGTGTCGGTGTAGTTGCCGGTGATGAGGAATGTTACGAAGTGTTCAAGGAACTGTACGACCCTGTGATCGAAGGCTGGCACGGATTCAAGCCAGACGACAAGCACCACACCGATATGGATGCGGCTAAGCTTGTCAACGCTGACAAGATCGACAATGCCTACGTGCAGTCCACTCGCGTGCGTGCTGGGCGTAACATTCGCGGCCTTAGTCTCCCACCCGGCACGACGCGTTCGGAACGTCTGGAGGTGGAGAACCTCATTGCGACGGGGTTATCGACACTCACTGACGAGCTGAAGGGGAAGTATTACCCTCTAAGTAACATGACAAAAGAAGAGGAGGACCAACTCCAGAAGGACCATTTCTTGTTCCAGAAGCCTGGGGGCGGTACCTTGCTGACTGGTGCCGGAGCTGCCCGTGACTGGCCCAGTGGCCGTGGAATTTTCCACAATGATCAGAAGACGTTCCTTGTGTGGTGCAATGAAGAGGACCACATGCGTGTGATCTCGATGCAAAGTGACGGTAACATTGTTGAGGTATTCGCACGCTGGGTCAAGGCTGTGACTGCGGTGGAAGAGAGCATTAAGGCCAATGGATACGCCTTCATGCACAACGATCACCTCGGTTTCCTCGGTACTTGTCCGTCGAATTTGGGCACGGGACTACGTGCGAGTATGTTCGTTAAGCTCGAGAAACTTGGGGCCGATCCACACGCTCTTGAAGCCGTCTGTGCTCCTTTGGGCTTGCAACCGCGCGGCTCGGCTGGCGAACACTCGGCTGCTGTTGGTGGTATGTGGGATATCTCCAACAAGGCTCGTATCGGTAAGTCGGAAGTGGAGCTTGTGCAGACGATGATTGATGGGGTTGGTAAGCTCATTGAACTGGAGAAGGAGCTGGAGGCTGGCAAGACCTACGCGGACGTGTTGGCCTCTGTGGGCGTCACTCAAAGCGCACATTGAAGCCGACTGTAGCCGCTAGAGCGAAAACGGGGCTGATTGTGAAGCTTCTGAATGTGGTTGCTCGTGGCTACAGACTGAAAGAACAGCGTCAAACTGTTGAGCATGCGGCCATGGTGCTGGTTTCCCGCATATCTTGAAGGTTTGCTTTTTATTTCTTATATTTTCAATACGAAACTACGCTGTTACCAAGTACTAGTACTTGTAGCCTTCAATCGCGTCACAGCACCTCGAAGCACCTACCCTTTTCGTTCAATGAACGTAACTCGTGAGCCCAGAGCGTCCACCATTCTCAAGTGACGCGCGAGTCGCTTCTGCCTTTACTGGCGATAGTAATATACTACTGAAGTAAGCTTTTTTTGTTAAAGAACCGCGTATCTTTTATTAAGTAAGGGCTATTTCACTGCTTAACTCTCGGTAATTTCAATACTATACTTAAATGAAAAATGACAGTCCGGCAACCATCCAAAACTTTGCATCACATATGGCAGATTGTGTGAAATCCATACAAACTTCAGTATTAAGGGTTTTGAAGCCCTTTCTGTAGATTTTTACGCACATTTTATCAAGCTGAGCGACGCTCTCGCCCCGGCACCAACTTGCCTTGCAGCGCTTCTTACGCTGGTCGTACAGGCGGAACTACGCCTATCAGAAGCACAAACAAGCGAGCTACTTTCACGCACTCAGCTTGTTCTTGTTGGCTGTGGCGCTCACGAGTTACCGTTCAAAATGCGCTGTGCATGCGCGATGAGCACAATTTTTTCGTTGTCGTATTTGCTTCATCTTTTCAATACGACTTTAACCAGAAGGCGTTTGTTTGTGATCTCCACGCTACGCTTCTTTTAATGAGGGTTTCCCGGCGCATATCTGTCAAGTACTTTTAAAATTATGAGAACATATCTAACTTTGATGTCTCATTTCATCTCGCCAGTACAATAGCCCAGAAAGCTTGGCAGGCACGCACATTTGCATCACTCCGCTCAGGCCTATCACCTGCCTTTTATTACCTTTCACATAGCGACTGCTTTATATCCTTATGCGGCGCCGCTGATGGTGTGCGGCGCCGTATTAACAGTTTATACTTCGAAGTAATTCTACTCAAAAATATATGCTGATTATATCTAACATAAACCACCTCTTGATCCACAATTACTATCGTACTGCAAAAGTGATGTAGCATTTTATCTCTCCAGTACTATAGCGCTTTAAGTTTTTTGTTCTGTTTTTAAGTGAAGCCTAGGTAGTTACTGGTCGTCGGTTAGCTTTCTATCTATATTTATATAGATTGACTAGGAGCCAAAGCTGTTACCATTTCGTGAAATACAACGCATCGCAGCTATTTATGTATGTGAGGGCTTCGGTCCTTTATCAGTGTCTGGGTAGATTCGTTCCATAATGAAATAAACTGGCGAACTCAGAGCTTCCAATTTTCTCTAATGGCACGCAAGCTGATTCCGCTCTTGTTGAAGGGGTTAATAATATTAATTTTCACCATACGCGGAGCGATGGCAACTATTAACAGAAGTAAGCACGTGCATGCGACCGTTCCTTCTTTGCACGCTGCGCTGCAGCCAATCCCTTCCGACTCTACAATAGCGTCACGTTGTTTGACTGCTGTGGCAGGGAGATGATGATGTTAATCCACCACCGTAAACAAAAAGAGAATTCATAATACTTGCAGGCAATATCTGCTAGTTATCTCAAGAAAGAAAGTTTTATTGTCTACGTCAGTACACTAGAGGTAATTGTATCTTCTTGCATTATTCTTCTGCACTTCGAAATCGGAGGGAGTATCGCAGTTAACGGCTCAAGCCAGCAAATCACGCCGGAAAAATAAAGCCGCGTGTCGCGGCTTTAAACCACACTGAGTATCGGTAACCTTATGGACTCTTGATTACGGTCAGTTGACCGAAACATATAACCAGCTGTTAACTACACACAGGATTGGTACTAGTTCTGCAGGGCCATATGTTTAGTTTCATCCCAGAGGTAAAATAACTCTGACAACATATTTATTCACACTATACGGTTCCCCAATCCCAGAAAATGATCCAAGATCAGCTTCACGATAGGAAACGGGATAACCTTGAACTTATTAATCTCAGTTTACTTTGCCGACTCGTTATCCCAACAATACGGAGTCCTATTAAATGCTTCAAAGTACAAAACACTGGATGTTGTTGTCTATTGAGCAGCCAAGCCGGTCTCCTTGCGCCCTTCAAGTATACCAGCACGATAATACTACCACTTGTTTTCCCAATAAAAAGTACTGATAAAGCAGAATTTGATTGCTTGCTCAAATTATGATACAATTAGCACTTCGGATGTGCCACGATGGACCGCTCCCGGAAAGTCACCGATTCTACAATCTGGCTGTCACTTCGAGATCTACCCCCAAGCCCCAGCTCACACTGTGAGGCCTCCAGAGAAGATGCGTCTCGACTTGATCGTTTTAGTGCTTGCTACCTGTTTCCTGGCTCCCGTTGAAAGCACCTCGAAGGCGACTAAACAAGCCTACTCTGCGGTTATTGACGCCCACGCTATCCGTCCAGCTCGTAGCTTATTAGCCGAGGCCGACGTGGTCAAAGCTGACGAAGAGAGAGCTGGCGTGGGAAATGCAGTAGAAGCTCTAGCGGCAGGTACTTCGAAACTCATCGACGTGGCTAAACTGGAGAAGTATTTGAACAAGAAAAAGACAGCAGTTTACGTATTGAACAAATTACAATTCGGAGATGACGTCGCGGGTGCTTTGAAGAACACGAATCTGGAGGCGTTGAATACGTACATTGCGATGCTCAACAATAAAAACTCGGACGAGGTAATCACATTGATCGGGACTCTTTCGGCACGATATGGAGATGACGCTGTGGCGAAAGCTCTAGTTACCGCAGAAAGGAATGCTGAGAAGGCTCCGGAGCTGGCGGCGCTAGCAAAGCAGTTGAGGTCTCAGCAAGTATTTGCTTGGTTGGACAACGGTAAATCTGTCGATGATGTGTTCAACCTACTTAAGCTTCGTGGCAATGACTACGAAGCGCTCACAAGCCGAAAACTAGATGTACTGGAGGACTATATCACGAAGTTCAACCGCGAGAACCCTGACCACAAAACTAACTTGGTGAAGACGTTGACAAAGGGCTTCGGTGGTGAAACCAACTTGGTGGGTGTTCTACAGCGTGCAAAAGGCGACATTCGTACAAGGACGAAGGCTTTTCAATTGGAGGAGGGGCTGATTAGGCAGTGGGTGCGCGAAAAATTGGAACCTGCAAGAGTCATGGCGCTGCTAAATCTTGACAATGATGTCAACGGTGTGTTAAATAGTAGCAACCTCAAGATATTCCAGAAGTACCTCCAGGAATTCAACACGGACAATCTGAACAGCCCGGTGACATTGCTTACGGCGTTGACGTCGAAGTATGATGAAGGTGATGTGGCAAAAGCAATTATATCTGCACTGAGGCACGAGAATACACCTCTGGAGAAGCTCGCGGTGAGATTGCAGAACGAGCTGTTAGATGGATGGATGAAGCGGGATATGTCCGTGGATGACGTTTTCAAGCTTCTGAAGTTTAATAATGATGTCTCTGTCGTTGTGAGCCGAAACTTGGAGACACTGAAGGAATATATTCGGTTATATAATCGTGTGAAATCTCAAGACGAAACGCTGGCTGGTGTATTGGCGAGGGGCTTCGGCGGCGAATCAAATCTGGCGCAGATTCTTGTGGGGGCGAGATCGTTTCCCCAGCTGAACGCACAAGCTAAGAAGCTGCAGAGGGCGCAATTCAAGGAGTGGAACGAAAGAATGAACGTGAGTCCGAGACGTGTTTTGCCCAAGATATTTGATGTAACGGAGACCAGTGCCACCGAACTCCAGAAAAGAGTGGTACGGGATTTCAAGACTTACGTTAAGGATCAGAACGCTGCTGCGAACAGAATCGTGGAGCCTCGACGCCTTAGAACTTGATTCTCCGATGATTGCTGAGCCTGCTGCGGGGAGGGGTACATGTAGAGATATGCTCACAATAACACACCTCAACATCAAACTTGTCCGAAGCTTCTAGATTCGGTACCGCATTATTATTCGCACATTTATCATACAGCATACTGCCTCTCAGCCAATGACAACAGTTTTATTATCAACAAGCACAATACGAACCTTAGTTAGCCACATATTTATAACCACAACCGCTTTGAGGATCAGGTACGCTCTATGAATTCAACGATGCGGTAAATACAGAGGTGCAGGTAATGGTGCACCTCGTTTTCGACACCGGTATGCCTCTATAACCTTCAAAATTTGATGATTCCGCTCAGTGCATTGCGCAAATCGTTTGCCCATCACCGTTGGCTGAATTAACCTCAATGGTTTCCTCCTCCTCGAGGAGGGATGACACGTCGCGCCGTAGCGACCTCACTCTACCGAACAGACGAGTAAATACTGAAGCTCACTTTACTTTTTGCTGTATCATACCATGGCACGTCGCCCCTCCGCCTATTCTACGCTAAGTCTCGCTGACAAGCAGACGATATGCTGCAAAGCTGCTGCTGAGCCATAGTGAATAGTAACAAAAGTTTCAACGTGGTCATCCACAAGCTTCCACCAAATATAACTGCTGCCTTGCAACCGATGAATCAAGGGATCATCAAGAGCCTCAAGGATCATTACCGGACAACAAAGCAAGAAGCGGAGCTGGACATGTTCTATCGGGGCGAAAACTATAAACCAGTCGATATTTATACAGCCATGAAATGGTGCTCAGAAGGCTGGTCTGGTGTTTCAACGAAGACAATTAGAAACTGCTGGAGTCACAGCGGAAAGATGGATACGCGATTTATAATGAAATAAAGTAATAAAAAACAGTACACTTGGCCCATTTGCATAAATTTTCGCCGTTGGCAGACTCGATATGGTCCACCCAGTCGAAAACGAGGTTCATCACTGGACCATTTTCGGTAAACTAATATATCCTGGTAGTTTTTATGATCAATCGCCAAATCCCGGGAGACTTCGCACTGGTACTTCTCCACGACCCAGCGATCCTCATCAGAGTCAACATTTTCGTCTAGAGGTAGGTAGCTCAATACGCTTGCCATAACTAACAGTGCTAGCTTATATGTACAGTAGAATTGACAAAGTAGTACGTGTCAAAGAACGCCTTCACAAGTTGACTTTTCCCATTTTGTTCATCGCCGATATCGTGTAGCGGTATGGGATGCCAAACTGACGCGTGAATGAACAATACAGGTCATGTGTTCGCCGATAATGCGGTGGGTTGCCACGGAGGTCGCGTAGACATTTGCTGTGAGTCACACCTATGACGCCCTGCGCATATGTCCTTTGTATGTAGTATCGCGAACTGTCGAGCATCCCAAAACGAAGCAAGATGGAGGGGGACTGAATGGTGCCAGTATAGTGGTACAGTACCAAAGTGGCAAACATCTTTGACATAGTATTGTGAATTCCGTCCATTTTTGCCGATTTGGGTCTGTTCGAGGAGCGGGTGGACAATCGCCCACATACAAATCCAAGTCATTAGTAGATCTTATTTCGTACTTAAACGGGTCAGTATACGGAATTGTACACGCTGGGCGATTTGGGGGAGGTTCATTCAAAAATCCGCCCATGGAAATGCTGTGTAGAACCCACAATACCAGGATCTGGCGAAATCTCCGGTAATTGATTCTCGATAGTACCAGCATTTGTTAACTTCCCAAACGTTTCAGTTTCCACCGAAAAACCCTCCTGATGGCGATAACTCCTTCGATAACGTGATTGGCACCGCACATTAATGAATTACACTAGAAGTTTGTAACCTTGCAAATGTGTGCGCCACATACTGTTCGCCAAGCTTGTAAACTAATCTGCGGTGGCCAGTACATCTCCTGCCCACTTCAAACGACGATTTCGGTTTTTGGCCGATAACTCGAAAACAAAGCTCGCTCGTAAACGCAGGGCGCAACACATCAAAGCCCCGAGTATGGCGCACAGGATTATAGTTTTTTTTAGTTTTCTATAATGTCAAGTATGTGCATGCACGCTGCGATCAAAACCGCACTATTCTGAAGGCAATTAGGTATATTGTCGCAGTTCAGCCAATGCTTAGCGATATTACACCCAGTTTTAAGGGCGGTTTAGCAACCGCTGGATGAACTCACACAAGCAGAAACGGGCTAGAAACACTACAAACTAGACGCAACGACGGCGACGCGATGAATTAACGAAACCACCAATTCATACTGGCCAGTCAGCAACAGTAGCCTTAGCGGGATGCATCGTTCTTGGAATTCAAATTAGCTGCACCTTGAATGAGGTAATGAGGCATTGTGAGATAGACCATTTTTATTGGTTCGCTGAATAATTTTTTTAACCAATCAGCATATGTTACGACGTAGGATGTCGACTGGATGTCGGCACAACGTCGACTGTCCGAAAAGACGGCCCGGTCTCTCGATGTCGACAGCTCTAGTATGTATACTGCAGTCAGTCGATACACACTTTGATCAGTAGCGCGGTCATTGTAGGAATGAATTCGGTAAATTGTGGACGTGTCTGTCAAGTCGAAACATAGCGTGGATCAGTACGATAAGAATGATTGAAGGGACAAAGTCGAGTCAACAAGGAGCTTCAAACTCAACTCCCGCGGTCTGCTCGACTATTCAACAAGCCATCACCTGTTGCGTTATGAATAGGAAACGTTGATGAAGGTCCTGCATTTATTTTCTAACCCACGCAATATCCCGTCGGGCTATCTAGAAGCACTTCAACGTAGGAAAGAAAAAAGCAGAGACCACTTCAGTCTCTAATTTGATTGGTACCCTCCACTTGCCGCGTGAATGAAGTTTCAAACCGCTCTCCTCTCACTGCTCAATCTGGCAACTACTGCCCTGGCACAGCCGTCGTGGCACGATCTGGCCATCACTGCCCCGCAATATGGTCGATATCTGTACCGCACCAACTCGCAGGAACCTTTCTTCTGGAAGGCCGACACGGCCTGGGAGTTAATGCATCGTCTGAACAAGACCTCCATCGATTTTTACCTCAAGACTCGCGCTGAGCAAGGCTACAACGTCGTGCTCACAGTTGTGCTGTCGGCGTATAACGGTACGACTCGTCCGAACTTTTATGGTGATCTTCCTTACAACAACTCGGATACGACGCAGCAGAATGAGGCGTTCTTCGAGCTGGTAGATTGGACTGTAGATCGAGCTGCGAGCTATGGCATTCTCATTGCTCTTGTGCCTGCATGGGGTAACTGGATCAGTGGTGCGTGGCATGGAACGAAGATATCCATCTTCAATGAATCAACCGCGTATCAATGGGGCAACTACCTTGGCGAGCGCTATCCAGGGATCCCAAAGCTTCTTGGAGGGGACACCAACTGCATTTGGGTCAGAAACACTACTGCAGCTATGATTTCATACGCTGCGAACCCGAACGTCGATCCAGCTACGCTCTTAAGCCCCGTTGAAGATACCACCGATCTTTGGGTGAGTATGAGAACGGGTGTCAAGGATGCCGAGAAGGCTGAAGGTTACGAGCCTATTATCCTGTTCCACCCCACCGCTGGCAGGATCGCTAGACCCGTGAGTACTCCCATGGCGTACGGGCATTTAATGTTCCCGAAGGAGGGAGACCGCGTCTCGATTGACGCTGTTCAGTCTGGGCATGCTACACCTGATGCTCTTGGAGGATTCACTCCTTACGAGACCTGGGATTCCACCAAAAACTACGAGTTGATTGCTGCTATGCGTGACGGCTTCACTGGCCCCGTTCTCGATCTCGAGAACCACTACGAAGGCGCTCACGATAACTTGGATGCTAACCAGCCTATGATCTGGAATGCTTCTCAAATTCGTACAGGTCTGTACAATGGTGTATACGGTGGAGCTGCTGGTTATACGTACGGCGCTAACAGCGTGTGGCAGATGTATGAACCTGCATCAGATCTGTATCGTGAGAGCGATTATATCGTACCTTCATCTGGCGAGGATGCTTCGAGTTCATGGCGCAAAGACCTGTTCTTTGAGGGTGGCCAACAAGCTCAATACACCACCAAGCCGCTGCAAAATCTTACTGTTGCTGAGCTCGAGATGCTCGAGCCGGCTCGTCAGCTCCTAGCGAGCCCTAGTGGATACACGGATGTTGCTGTCAACGCTTTTGCTAGTACGCGCTACATTTCGGTTCTGGCGTCTGTGAACCGCGATCGCTTCTACGTGTATACTGGTCACGGGGACTCGTTCAGCCTAAGTATTGGCAATGGATTCGAGCGTACGGGCAACCTTCGCCGGTTCTCTCCTCGTGACGGCGAATATTACGCTGATTTGACCGTGAATGTTCCAGTTAACGTCACTCGCGTGGACTTTACTCCTCCCTCAGGGGGCAACGTCGACAACGATTGGCTTCTGGTTGTCGAGTTTTAGTCAGCATCTGGATTCTTAATCTAGAAGCGGCAAGTCAAAGAGAACAGGTTTTTGGCAGAAGTAAGGCTTTTTGCTAATACCTACAGTTGAGGTTGGCTGAGTTCAATGATTTGGTCGCTGGTAGTAGTCTTGGGTCCGGAAGAAGCGGGGGCTACCGCTCAGATTTTGTTTTTTTTACGGTACTTTTCACGTTAGCTTTGGTAAACTAAAATATAAAAGCCGAGATTATGCCCATTTTTACAAGTGCCCAAATTTGGGTTACGTTTTGCGTAACCCAACTTTGGTTACGGTTTCTTTAGCACTGACTGCGGTGGAAGTTCCTGTCTCCATGCATGGAGAAGTTACGCGGCCGAATCGTGTACCGCTCGCCAGAAACTGAAGAAGCGATATGGGCTGAGCCCAAACGCTTGTTGGAGGTGCACATCCCTGCACGATGTGAGGACAAGAACGTCGAACGCCAATTAAGCAGCAAAGAGGGGAGATAATTTTTCCAAGAACTTGCAGCCGTGGGTCACGTCAAGAAAGCAGCGTGGAAGAACCTCCTAGAATGCCGTCGATCTGGGACTGAGGGCGAAAAAATTGAAGACGAGGAGACTCGTGTCTGCTTCCAGCACTACATGCTCAAGGGGAGCATACAGACACCAGTGACAATTTCTGAGTGTATTGCAAAAAATTGCACTTATGGCTGGTGTGAATTCTGCAATGGATGTAACAATTCCCATGAAAGAGTATTTTTCGGCGATCAAAGGGAATCTCGCAACCATAAGCGGAGATATGAAGCCGCTGGAAGACAGTTGGATCGCTGAATCGATCATAAAGGCGCAATGGCAGACGGACAAGTGTAATGATATTCAGCCTGGAGCATCACTACGATGCACGTTTGTGTTGGAGCAATCTCGGAGACTCGAAAGTTACTTCTGATATGGATACACTGGTCATGGCTATGGTATGGTGCAAGGTGGCGTGTGGTTCTCGCATGTCCGTTTGGATGACTATGGCGGACCATCTTCGAGAGAAAGCATAAAAGCCAAAGGAAACATTTGGAGTGTTTATTGAGAGTATTTGGGAAGCGTACGTCGTCCCCAGGAGATGGCATACATCGGCTATCATTTGGACAATGTATCGTTGTCGCTACAAATGGGATCCATTGATCTGAATCTAGACTCTAGTACCACTACGAACGTTCTTGTGGCAATTTGTTCGGTGCTTGTGACTAGCCAGGCTACTAAGACCTTGGTAATGTTTTTACACGTCAACTATGACAATCTTGCCGACAGTAGACACAAATGGAAGTGGCTAGCGTACGCTCTTATCTCAAAGCGAACACGTGAATTGTCGGCGATCGAATCGCTGGCATCCACTTTATTGATATGCATGAATATCCCAGATATGGAGGCCTTTATTTCTATCCTATCATCTGCGCACCCAGCAGAAGAACTTTACGCTTGTCATGTGGTCTCGTCGCAGAAAGAGAGGCGACTTTCAAAGCTAATAGACCAATTTATTGGCAGTTTACTGATCAAGAAGAGCGTTCTAGACGGCTTAACCCTCGACATTTAAGTCCCTCATGTCATCAATTCAGCCGTTCAGCGACGATGGAGAGAGTGAATTAGTGAACATGATATTCCCGGCTATGGGAGATGTCAAGTTCAGCGATCGGATTTGGTGTTCGACCAGTCTGACGCTGCGAAATAAAGCCAACAAGGTGTGTTTTTTGGGGCCTAGTGATGAAGAAAAGGTTGTTCTGGATGGATTTTCCGCTTACGTAACAGTGACTAGGAAGTCAGAAGGTACCAAGCTCCAATTTTGAGGTTTGAATTCGGGGTGGTGGCGTTGCTGGGCAACTAAGATGTTGGAATAGGTAGTTCATGCATTTCGAATATTTGTTCGTTAGCACTTTTATGTTTCTTGATACGGAGTTTAGTGTTCCCAAAGGAGGAGGGCCGACCACGTCTCGATTGATGCTTTTCAGTCTGGTGGCAACAAGCTCAATACATCACCAAACCGTACACCAATCGTTCAGGCACTTCTCACTGATTGTCTACTCGTTGGGATAAAGGAGTTCCTGTTGACTTGGTCGCTTCTGGCAGTGCCGAAGGACTTGAAGCTATGTTCGTGTCGGGAGAAATAACAACCGATACAGGTATAGCAGCAATATCATCGAATTAGCTGTGCTTTTCTTTTTCAATTTGACAGAATTTTGTTATGGTGTAAAGGTGATACTCTGAAAAGTTTCAAGATACCGACAAAAAAGTATTGATGATCCCAGTGCCGCCACATTAACTATCAGCTACGTATATTTTGGCCCCGAGTGATCTATTTATGAACGTTGTACACACGGGGTTTCGGCTAGAAGAAGAATGACCTTTAGCCTTCGAAGTAAGTTTTTTGAAATCCTTGTTGTTAATATTAATTAACAAAATAGAAAACATTAAAATTTGTGAGCATGGTGACGCATTTCTGACTGATAGACAGAAAGTTCTGGACTTTTGATAGAAACTTATCTCCCCCCCCCCCCCCCCCCCCCGTTTTTAAAAAGTAAAGTGTCATAGCGAGAAGCAAGACGCGCAGCCATGCTAAAACACACGTACGATGCAGCGACCAGTGTCCAAGACCAAAATGCACCACCAGCAAAAATCGCAAAATCAATTTCCGTTTGTGAATACTGCGACAAGGAGTTCACTACTCGAGGTATTCCCCTCCACCAGAAGAAATGCACCAAGAAACAAGCGCATGACAAAGCCGCAGCTAAGAAGACTCGCTCCTACAAGTTTAGTGTTATTAACGAGGACGTCCATGAAGAAATCCTCTCATTCCTGAGCAACCAGACACTCACCAAGATGCAGATGATCATTGGCGACCGCTACGAACAGTGTGAACCTGAATTGGCGAGATACTGTTGCAAGTGCGAGAACGACAACCCAGCCATTTTTAGTGGAATGTGCCGGCAATGCGAGTCGGATTGCCATCGTTATCGTTTTGAACTCGCAGACAAGAGGATGGCACTGGAAAAATATGGAATAACGAAGAAAGATTTATACTCCATCCCGCAGATTTGTGGCAAGCGATATGACCCGATTCGACTTGAAAATTACATGATTGAGAAGTGTGGATCGAAAATGGAGTGGGTGAGGTATCTTGCCAAGAGGGACGTGAGAAGAAAGAAGGCTCGTGCAACACGGAAGCGCAACAAAGAGGAAGGCGATGTTTTTCCGAATTCACGATACAGGGTTCGCCGGATTGGTGTGTAGCTATGCGTATTAGCTTTACAGCTACAGGTTTTCCAATTTCAGTCCCACTGAAACGAGTCATCTATGTGCGCACGTAAGTTTATCTTCATTCATCGCTTGTGATCAATTTAATGTGGTATTGCCCCGGCATGTTGTGCAAGAAGTACGAATTACTTCACTGCGTTGTAAACTCTTAATGTCTCTAGATCTAGAATCTCGATCATCGTTGGCGTTGACGAGGTAGCGCAACTATCCGGGCCAGACCTCGATGTACCTGTGCCACTAGCGACGGTCCCTCCATCGTGTGCCCGTCCACGCACAATCTGTCAGATGTACAAGCAGGTTCTAGCTTCAACGCCCTTGTACCAATTTGCTGGACTGCTGGTCGCTTGAGATGTCGACCAGACTCGACTGAGAACAGCATACGCCACACTTCACTGCGTGGTTGGGTGCCATCGATGAACGTGAGGTAAGTGTAGCCATCGTCAAGCTGTGCACCAGGAGCGACAAACGCCGTCGGAGTCGCGTGGCTCGTGTTGGTGACCCATGCACTCCTAAAAGGACCCGTAAGCTCCACCCACTTATCAAATCCCAGTTCAGTAGTGAAGAGATCTAGAGCAGGTTCAGCTTCTTCCTCGTCGTCACTATGCTCTTGGAAGTATCTCGTCGGTTGGTGATCATCAGCATCTTGACTTAGATACCATATCCTACCGGAATACGGGGATTTACGTGTAACTTGTCGTCTTAACGACATTGAGTGACGTAGATCTCGGAGTATACCGGTCTTGTGCATTGGAATTGTAGCTTGATTCGAGTTAGACGGTGTCCACTCGAGCTTCAGGAATGAGTAACGCGTCTCGTTACCATTGCATACTGAGGTGATATCAAGGTCCTGCGGACGTCCTTTAATAAGAGCGAAGGCGGCATTTTCCAAGTTCAAACACCCGTGACTGTGGTGTGCAATCGAAGCTGAGAGACCGTTATTCGAGCCACAGTCGATGGGTAAAATACCGAATGGTTGACGGATTGCCTGCCTCCAGTCTGTCCTCGCCATCAATCCTTGAATGACTGGCCATAAAGAACATGAACTCGTTAGTACACTCATATACAGTGCATAAACCACGTTAATGACCACTTACACTCATGAGCAAAGCTGTCTCCTCCAACGATAGTAATGCACTCAAATTGACCGAGTGGAAGCTGCTTGGCGATATCGAGAACAATGTTGTCTTCAACGACGTCGACCGTGGTTTCGATGTTGGCTACCTGGAACATGGGCGCTACAATCTGTTCATACTTGCTTCGACCAGACCCTTCTTTCGAGTCAATGAGTACACGAAACTTGCGTAGTGAACCAGCGCTGGTTTCATCCGGCTTTAACAGTATCAGGTCACTGATATCCTCCGAAATCGATTTTCGAGGATCTGCCCATCTGTTCAGTGCATGATGTAATTGAGCCACTTGGTCAATTTCGTCGCCGTAGAACCTGAACGTCCACTGTCGAGGGCTTCGCTTCGTAGGTTGATTGTCTTTGTGTTTTTGCTTTTCGAGTAGAAGACCTTCTGGAGGACACGCGTATAGTGCGAGCATGTAGACTCGACGCGGGACGACCGAGCGTCGACTCAATGGCCGGCCGCAGGCTGTCTGTAGGTGAGCACCGAGAACGTCCTCCCACTTGAGCTCCATCAAGATGGGGTCTTCAGGCTTCTCGCACTCGTCCGCGATGCTGCCAGTGGTTACGGCCGACAGAGTCCGTTCATGGTTCAAAGACTTGCAACGACGACCCGGTACGAGTTCTTTCCTGCGTCTCTGCTTGGCCACAATGCGCAGCGTACAGTGTGTCTTGGAGAGCTCGAACTGCACGAGCGGATGCTGCGTGTGCTGTGAACGTCGATGTAGCCATGCGAATCGCTCGTCCGGAGGCTGGCAACTCTCGAGGTGCAAATCTTCGAACAACTGAGCGAGTGACATAGCCAGCGGATGTGACTGGGACGCAGCAAGTTGGAGAATGCTACGCTACATGGCGGTTGTTGCAAGTATATCGGAGACCTAAGGCTGAAGTTACGCGTCTCTTTGCGTTTTTTCTGCAACTCACAGTGGGATGTAACCGTTACAGAATCCTGTGAAAGTTGATGTTGATATTTCAAAAATAGATCGCTCCAAGGTTCGCAAAGGCGCCACAGAAGGGCAGGACAAGACCTGCAAGAAAAAAAAATGATAACTGTCTGAGGCGCACCCAAAGGCGTATATCCGACTCACGGGTTCTCGAGCTTGCCACATCAGCAGCGCCAGACTTGAACGAAATCACCATGCTGGCCACATTCGTGCGGGCCATTGTGTGTAATCGTGTTGTTATTTATGTCCAGAATGAAAATTGAAAGGGCGTTGGTGGCAGTTAATGTCGAGAGAGGAAAGTCCGTGACGGCGCGCACGCCCCACAATGTGCAGCACGCGGAAGTGAACCAAAAACTTATCCTGACACAGAGGCAAGAGACGCACGTTGGATCAGCACAATAGTGAGCCTTTCGGCGTCGGTTTCAAGCTGGCCAAGTTCGTCCTATTTGTCCGTTGTATTTCCTCCATGGTTAGTGCACCAGATGGATCCGTGGAACTTCTCTATTCGACCAAGTGGAAGAGGCTGCGTGAGATTTCGCAAACCTCAGCAGAATCGCCACGACTTCGATAGGTGAGAACTTTATCACCGCTTTAATGGTTGGATACCGTAGCTCGTATATGGTGGGTTTTTTTCCCGCATTATATTACGTAATTAGCCCCATACCAGCAGATGAACGTTCTGGTCGATTCACAGCGTCATCCTAGGCCATTCCAAGCAGATAAATGTCTAGGTAGCTTGGAGATGCGTGTTTGCACTAGCGAGCTTCACACGCTCTGAGGTTTAGATTTGGTAGCAAAATCTGATACAAATTAGTACAAAACTGACCATACTGGGACCAATACCACGAAACAAACTTACTCACGGCAATGGATCCTTTCCCACAGAAGATATCGGTCAAAACTCGCGGCTAAAAGCAAGTATACATATCGTGGTTAGCCCGTAAAACGTCCCGTCATCGTGCGATCAGATTTGACTAAACAACAAGTTGATGATTTTATCACTCAATATTATTCATTGGTACTCATTGAATTTAGTCGAAAGTAGATATCCTACGTTTTGAGGCTCAAAATGACCATACACACTGATTCTGAAAGGCCGCGAATAGATTAAAAAAAAAACTAAATAAATAAAATAAAAAAAATATTGCACCCTCGTACCTTCCAAATTCGTTTACTAAAACGAGAATTTACATGTTTTTCATGGTGATGGCACATGGAGAATAAAACAATATGAACGGGAACTAAATCTAGCAGTTATTGGAGTCATCCCAAACACTGATGGTTCTGTTGAGCCTGCTGGGTCTTCTGTAGAAAGGTGTGCATTTTAAATCAAATGGGATCGTACTGAACGGATTCCGCAAACCGCATTTGCTATATAGACTTATTGGTATTTCTCTTCTTCACTCTTTAGTTAACTTCACATAAATAGCGTTTATCTGACCCACTGTGGCATTTCTCTTCTTCTTTTACACTGCAAAACGAATCCCTATCAAGGTGGAAATTAGGTGGAAATTAGGGATATTCTACATGGTCATCTTCCTTACAAACCTAGTAATTGTGCTTTTACTTTTCTCTATTTAACGGGATTTGCTTTTTCATCGTGTGTGGATCCAAAGATTATGGGACGTTACAATGCACTCAACAGAGATAAAAAAAAAAAATCAGATGTGTCATGAATGTAGACCCATACACACACATGAGTCGCTCAGGGAAGTCACACCAACCCGTTTATTGGTAGTCACTTAGATATCCTCCCATCGGCGAGCAGAGCACAAGAAATGCGTTTTACTTCGGTCTTATTGCTGCTTGCAGTCGGTTTCCTAGAGTGTGTCGATAGTACCTCGGGGCATAGTGCCTCAAAGACGCTCACAGATCACTTAACTGTGGTTACTGACACACAGCCCATCACTCTTGCTCATCGGTTCTTGAGGACACAAGGCGTCGACGCTATCGAGGATAGAGCTGGTTTGGGCAAAGTGACAGATGCACTAAAGGCACATGCAAAGAAGCTCACCGACACCTTGACGGAGATTCTTCGTCAGAAAAAAACTGCTGCCGAAGTGCTGAACAGTTTAAATCTCGGAGACGATGTAGCAGGAGCTTTGAAAAAGTCAAAACTGGAGGTTTTGAAAAACTACATCGAGCGACTCAACAAGAAGAACCCCGATAAAACCATCTCGTTGGTCGGGACTCTTTCAGCGCGTTATGGAGATGATGAGGTACCGCGAGCAATAGTATCCGCGGCAAGACGTACAGACTCGGCACTGCACGTGAAGGAACTGGCAACACAGCTGCGATCTCAGCAACTACGTGCTTGGCTTGACAACGGTAAATCCGTCGATGATGTTTTCAAGTTACTCAAGCTTGGTGACGATGGATATGAAGCGCTCACAAGTCGAAAATTGATTCTATTGGACGACTATATCGTGGAGTTTAACCGCGCGAATCCTGGCCATAAAACCACTTTGCTGAAGACCTTGACAACGGGTTTTGGTGGGGAAAGCCATTTGGTGACGCTTTTAGCCGCTGCAAAACACGACGTTCGTACAAAGGCGAAGGCCACGGAACTGGAGAACGGGTTGCTCAGACAGTGGCAACGTGAAAACTTGGACCCAGCCAGCGTCATGAAGCTGCTAAATCTTGACAATGGTGTCGACAGAGTTTTAAATAACCGAAACTTGGAGACATTTGAGAAATACATCGCGGTGTTCAGCAAAAAGAACCCGGAGAATCCAACGACATTTCTGGGGGCGCTGACGATGAAATACGAAGAAGGCGAGGTGGCAAAGGCCATTGTGTCTGCACTGAAGAATGAGAATATGGCTACGAGGAGGGTCGCGGCAAATTGCAGAAAAAGCAATTAGACGGGTGGTTGGAACGGAATTTGGCTGTGGACGATGTTTTTAAACTTATGAAGTTTAAAACTGATGGTTCCGTCGTTAATAGCCGAAACTTGGAGACGCTTGAGGAATACATCCTGGTGTACAACCGAGAGAAAAAAGTAAGCGAAACTTTGATTGGTGCGCTGGCGAAGGGCTTCGGCGGCGAAAAAAAGCTGGCGGAGATGCTTATGAGAGCAAGAACGTATCCAGATTCGAAGATAAATGCTATAAAAGTAAAGAATGCGCAATTCAGGAAGTGGAGGGACAGGGGTTTGAATCCGGTCAACGTTCTTACCAAGGTATTCAGTGTGGAGGAGGCAGGTGCCTCCAGAATCCAGAAAAGAATAGTAAAAGAGTTCACGACTTACATCGAGCGAAAGAACGCCGCTGTGCACAGAATCACTGACCCGCGACGCATTTAAACAAGAACAGGACGAACACTTCAGGCTTTGATAAAAAAAGAGGTTTATTTACTTTTAGTGGTGACAATGTAACTTCTGAGCGAGTAAACATCTTTTTACCCACGAATAAGAGTGTTATGCCGTCTTTTAATAGTATCTGCTGTACGGTATATGTGAGTGTTCACCTGCGCCTCAGTAGCAATGCACCGTGCCATGCGTGAGCTAACTGTTTGTTCAAGCGGGGGAAAGGGGATACCCCCGAAGCGTTCAGACTAATGGTGTATGTGGTCCCAACGACCTGTGTGCTGGGGTAGTCCTGCATTTAAACCGTTTAGCCAAGCACGCACTTATCGGTGGTGTGAGATCACTCACGGACGATTGTATGTGAGGGTAACAATTTCGAGTTTGTTCTAAAGCAAACGAAGCTGATCGCGTCTGCACTTGTCGTGGCTGGGTTTGTCTAAGTGAGTTGAACATTTTCAAGTTGGTATACTAAGGAGAGTTCCTTCAAATTGGGTCATAACAACAAAGAATGCCTGGGTAATCGCTCATTCTCGCCAACCAGGCTGCTGTGGACCAGGAAGATGCACTGACTAAGCTACAGGAAGCCGCAATGGACGACGGACGCACCCGTTCATGGGCGTTCTACAATGCAGCTTCCCGTCCTCATAACACCAAGCAGACCGCCACCGCTTAGATGAACGTAAATTCGTGTAGATGTTACATTTGTGGTGTAAGAATGAATTCGTTTTTTTTT